AAAGTAGGTGTCAACCTAGTTGGGATGTACTTATACTATAAATATTTGATAATAGTAATTAGAAATGCATTTAGTTGTTATTTGTTTAAGTTAAATTTAACTTTGCAAAGTTATAAATAATTCATATAACATTAAATTTGAATTCTATGTAAACATTTCTTGGTATAAATATGAATTTATCATTTTGTTCAATTCTTAGTTTACATTTAATTAAAAAAAATATTTTTTACTATAAATATGAAAAATTCTATATTTTTATAATTTTATTTATACAATAATATGGTCAAATCGGAACAAATCGTGACCCGTGACCAGCAATGGGCTCGACCCGGAACCGACCATAGCGGGCGAGCTTTTTTTACGCGGACCGTTACCGGGCTCATATGTTGGCGGACAGACCCAGCCCGAACCACCCGGATTGACACCTCTAGTGGGGGGAATAAGAAGAAGATTTTTTATTTTTAAAAGGGGATATGTGATGTGACTAAAATGCCCTTGTCTTTGTTGGTTAAAATTGTCAATTTTTTTATTTTTTAGGTCAATTGACGGTCAAATCAATAGTTTCCATCCATTTGAACTCCAAGTGCGGACTTTTGAAATATTTGGTACCGTAGATGACACAAATAAAATGTTTTGGTCAAGTTTGTTACTAAATGAAATGTTTGGTACGGTAAGTGCAATTTTCCCTTTTTTATATATCTATCTTACTCTAATGCCCTGTTTGATAGGGCTTGAATTCCGTGGAAAGTGGAAAACGTATTCCATTTCTACATTTTGGTAGTGTTTGATGGTTCTGATTTGCCCTGGAATTTGTCATTATTATTTTCCCCTCACGCGTCCATTTCTAGGCGTGAGGAGAATTAGGTGGGAAAATCAATTCTGACTTTCTGTGTTTTTTTTTAGTAATGGAAACAATTTTCATAATCAAATGTCAAAAAAAAAAATTGTTTTCATGGACAATTTTGATACAAACGAAAGCCAAATGAACATTAAACTTTGATAAAAAAATGATTTTTTAAGAAACATTTTTTTTCGTTTTTTTTTTAACTTTTTGACAATGGAAACAATTTTTATAATCAAGTGTGGGAAAAATTATCACTTTAATGGATAATTTTGATGCAAACGAAGGCCAAACGAACACAAAATTTAAAAAAATTTCGGGTGAAAAATTATGCCAATCAAACACACTTAATTAACAATTCCTTGGAAAACAATTTCTAAGCAATTATTTTCCCTGGAAGTCATTTTCTTTCCACCAATTTTCCACAATTGCAATCAAACGGACCCTGAGTTCATTCCTATTAAAATTTTAAAAAAAATATGATTTTCATCCATGGCGTATTCCAATATTATCCTTATTAAATTCGTTCATTTAAATACTATATACATCCACACCAATCCACTTAAATCATTGTGGAAGCAGCATCCAATTAACCGAAAAATATCAGTGTTGATGTTTCCGTATGTCAGCCTCTGGATGAGAATCTTTTCTCCGATCTTACTCTCATCATTCCTTCTCTAATTCTAATAACTCATGAATCTTCTCCGGTTTTAAATTCAGCTGTGTCTCGGCAAACTTCAACTCAAAAGAGAGTCTACCGTCAATAGAGTACAACAACTCTGGTGTTCCAGTTTATCAGCATCTCATCCATGGATAGGAATGGCCGACCCCGAAACATGTAGATCACGAACAATGGAACACTTCCCTGCCAGTTCTGGGTAAGTTACATTACGTCCACATTTTCCCAAGTGCAACCAACAAGAATATCCTACACAAACTAGATCGAGACAAAGTTCAAAAGATAATGCCATAAGAGTGGAAAAGCAAGTTTGTGATGACAGATAAGCGATCTGTATCGACTTTTTTTCTCAATGGAATGCTGATAAGACAATTTCTTATTTTTCTTTCTTTTGGAGGGTGAACGGGATTAAATTAGGAAATTAACATGATCAAGACACCAAATTTTGATGCTTAAAAGGCGGGAAGTTTTGGTCATGCAAGTAAAAAGTGATAATGTATCACAAAATAGTAACATTATTCAAATTTGTAGTGGCAATATAATTACGCTCCACTAAAATTTAAAAAAAAAAATTTACTTTTTGATCAAAAAAGTTGTACAGCAAAAGGCTCTATTAACAAAAGTTTTACTGCTAAAAGCTCTACACACAATTGATGCGCCAAACAAACCCTAAGTAACTTGTTGACCCCAAAAAATGTTGCCAACAGATGTCGGGCCCACTCGTGTATGCGTAAGCTTAATCCAA